CCCTTGCATGCTAGTTAGTTGTTCTTTTAACACGCAGAGATGGGTTTCTGTTTATAATAAATAGCGTTGTCTGAAAACCTAAAGCAGCCAGCCTCACAAAAAGTGGTGGAGTTTCTCCCGGGACAGGCAGAAGCGGTCCTTTCCCATGAGATTTCACGTCAGTGCAATAATAGACCTGCATTTCTCCACGGGTGATAAGTGATTTTACTTGTCACTTTACTCAACATAGGCTCAAAGTCATTCCATTGTACCAAACCTTCGTGCCTGTTACTTTGTCGTTTGTGGCTTCAAACACAAGAGGTTAAGTGAGGAAACCTGAAATCTATCTTTCTGAAAGCCAAAATGTTCCATCTTCCTTTGCTGAAAGCACCACATGCGATCGTCAATAGAAAGAACTGCTTTTCTCCAAGGCCAAAGTTGGATTTACATACTAAATATTCAAAGGTCTGTGATGTGACTCCTACCCTCTCCCCCTGTGCTCCTGAACTAGTGAATTAAACCCTCTAATCCTCGATTTCCTCATCTCTAAGATGAGAGCAGTAATGCCAACATTTAGTCAACAAAATATAACCAAAAGTTTATAAAACTAGAAACAAACAGTGCTCATGTCAAGTTCCTAAAGCTAATGGTATCACAGTTTTTGAAATTCTCCCAGCTGAGGGTGTGCAATCTATGGCCCGCTACGAATAAAGTTTTATTGGAACACAGCCACACTGGTGTGTTTACGTGTCGTCTGCTGGTGCTTTTGAGCTACGAGGGCTGAGTTGAGTGGTTCTAATAGAGACTGTGTGGTTCACAAAGCCTAAAATCTTCACTGTCTGGCCCTTTACAGAAAAAGTCTGCCAGTACCCGCTCCAGACTGTTATGATGAACACTTTCTCCACTAAAAGGCTTCGCATTTTTACTTTCTGTAGGGATATTGCACCTCATTCTGATGATGGAATATAACATATACAGAGTGTGGCACTTGTATATTGTCAGAGCCTCAACTTTCTCTTTTTCCTCTCATTTTTGTTCCCACTCTTTTCTGCCACCAGTTACATGAGTGACCTTGGACATGTTACTTCACCTCTCTGATCCCTAAGACTCCCACCAGTAAAAAAAGAAAAAAAAAGTGAAATGACTTGCAGAATCTCTTAGGGCTTTATCATAATACAGATCTGCCTGTGTTTCTATCTTTCTGTCTGTCTATATATGTCTATATATGTATGTGTGTGTATATATTTCACACGCAAACACCCAACTGCATTAGAAAATTCTAATACAATTAAAGCATCCTGTAAGTTGAAAGAAAAGATTTTTATAATTCAACCAAGTGAAGATGCCTTATTTCATAACATAGGGAACCATTTCTTAAGGCAGAGAATGGCTTAAACATGGAAATATGTTAGGATTGAATGAAATGCTTCAGATTACATAAACCAAACTGATCCTCTTTTAGCTGAACCCTGTAGTGAGTAAGTGGATAAATGAATGGCTAGTTTACAGAGGACGGTGGGGGAATAAACAGGTGATCACCACAATTTCCTTTTGGTTTTTAAATTTAATATTGATTGTTTTTGGGAAGGAAGAGATTGGGAGGATCTCATGTTAACAGTGGAAGGGCACCATCTCGATGTTGTCAAAACTCAAAATGGGCCTTAGTTTTGAGAAAATATAAAGCAAATATTAATTCATATTTTTAATAGCATTATTTCCTCATATGTTGTTCTCATAGCTTATGTTGTTTCATGTTTTCTAATGTTTTGTGAACTAGATGATATTATTCTAGAATATTATGATCACATCCAAGATATAAGAAAGATTTTCCAGGGAAGTAAATAACGACATAACAAATGAAGCAGATTAAGGAAAATGATGAAATACCTAGTTCTAGTTGACCTTCTTAAATGTTAAAATTTTTTAAAAGAGGAGATGATTTTGAGCTTTTCCTTTTGAGCCCAGAATACCCGGAAATTCATGTGACTGCTTATTTTCAGCATATAGAGGTTGAGGTGCATCACTGAGGACATGAATGGCTATTCTTTTCATTATGCATTCTAATTTTTCTCTCATCTTGAAGTAATGACTCACTTGCTAACGAAGTTCTCTGTAAAGAAAGGTCTGTAGCTTCCTTTGTAGGTTAAGGATTGAATCCAATGCCAGAGGAAGGGGTGTCACTTTAATTCTATTTTTTCAAACTGGGAATAACACTCCTTTTATTTTGCAGTTCATTTTATGATCTTGTTGTGGTTTAGCAATTCCGATTGACAGTGATTTAAACCTGAAACCGAAATATCCCCTTACAAATCAAAGCTACATTTAGAAGAGGCCTGTCATTCATCCATCCATTCATTCATTCAGCAAATGTTTACTGAGCACCTATGGTATGCAAGCTGCTCCGCTAGATGCTGGAAATATGGAAATGAATGAAACAGACGGAAACTACTCTGCTGGTGGAGATTTCATGGTTGTGAGTCGAGGCAGAAAGCAAGCAGTGTGCGATAAGCTGGTTGGTAATAAGGGCTTTGGAGAATAATGGAGAAAATCAGGGTGAAATGTGTTTTATCCAGTGGAGGGAGAGCACGTGGCTATTGTGAACAGGGTGGCCGGACCTGCAGTAGGACAGGAGCCAGTCGTGGGGCCATCGAGGGAATGCGTTCAGGCCAGTGCAAAAGCCTCAGTAGTGTCCTGGCTTTCCTCCTCAAGAAACAGCGTGGGAACCTGTGTGGCCGGGGCTGAGGGGCTGCCGGGACTCGAGGAAAGGAGGTTAGTGTGCAGCAGGACTTGCAGGGTGCTCGGAGACAACCAGCACTTTTACTGGAGGTGAAGAGCTTCTGAGCAGAGGGTAGCATGGCACGGTTCACGTGGGGAAGCATCACCGGCTGCCGCATGGGGGGCAGGCGCTGGGGAAGTCGCGTGGAGCCAGGGCGCGCTGTCAGGAGGTCTCTGCAGTGATGGGGACAGGTGCTGGTGGCTTGGCCCGGGCTGCTGGAAGAGGGGAAAAGCTGTTAAATTCCACATGTATTTTGAAGGCAGTGCTAACACGATGTGCTCAAGGGATGTGAGTGGAAAATAAAGGTAGGACTTCAAGGTTGGGGCTGGAGCCCCTGGAAGGAGGCATTTCCATGTGCTGAGGTGGGGGTGTCTGTGCTGGGCTGCGTGCACAGCGGGGTGCAGGGGTCATGATTTGCTTTGAGACACTTCGGTTTTGAGATGCCTCTGAGACTCCAAGTGGAGCTGGCTGGAAGATTTTTGAACAGCTGAACCCGAATTCAGGGCTGAGGGCTGTGTCGAGACATCAGTTTGAGAGTCATCGGCACAAAGATGTTTTTGGAGCTGTGACACGGGGCAAGATCCCTGCAGAATGGTGTCCACGAGAAGAGAAGCGGCCCCTGAGTTCAGGGCAGATGTGGGCTGCTCTGCTGTTTAGAAAGGAGGGGATTTGGCGCAGCTGCTGGGCGTGGGGCTGAGAAGTGGCTCCGGTAAGACGGAAGGAAACTCCCGTGGAGAGAGTGACCAGGAAGCCCAGTGAAGGCTGTGTTGTAAAGAGAAGCAAATGATCAATGATGTATTGATGGCGCTGGTCAATCGGTACTGGTGATCAGAGGAGGACTCCGCTGGGCTGCTGAGCCCCATGGCAAGGAAATGGTGCTCCCGTCCCCCAGGCGGAGCAAGCGTGTCCTCTTCGCGGGGAACGCAGTGGTGTCCGTGCCTCTTGGCGCGTTGCCACCTCACGCCGTAACTTGTCACCCTCTCGCCTGCAGATCATCTCCTTCAGAATCATCTGTGTGTTTTACATAAAAAGTGCATGTTTCTGGGCTCCAGCTGCATCACAGGGTCAGCATAGCCCCGTGTAAGTCCTGGGCGTGCCGGGAGACTCCTGACGGTGCTTGTTTGAGAGCTGCTTGATTGACAGCCTCATGTAACACGCTTCCCGTTAGCCCCGTGCGGAAAAACGGCTGCGAAGCGTTCTTATTTTATAAAATGAAGGCACTAACTTAACCAAGCTCCCAGACATTATAGACCATAGAGAAGAACAAGAAATGTAAAAAAAAATCATATTTCCGTCATTCCCAAACCACAAGGGATGCTGAGAGTGAAAACACGGATTTGTTTTCCCTCCAGTGTTCGTTTATATCAAGTTAGATGTAACTTCTCTGTACCTACGATGCAGATGCTGCTATAATTGGAATTATTGACAGCATTTTCCTGGGAAGGTGACTGGAAATGGAAGCCATCGGTAAATCATCTGCGGTGAGCGCTGTCCCCACTCTCTCAGTTTGTGGCAGAAAATGAAGTAAAGGCCCTGTAGGTTTGCTCACATTTAGTCTTCTTCATATGCGTGCTTTAAACGGAGATCTGTGGGGTGGTACTTCCAGCACCTGATTTCTCTCTTGACAGCTGAGAAGGTTTCGGTTTAGGAGACAAACCAGAAATGGTAAAATTACAAAAATGGATATTACCCGTAAGTCATCCAATATGTAAAGTGGATAAAAAATGGTGCAGGGTTTTTTTTTTGTTTTTTTTTTTTTCCTGATCTCTTTTTGTTGCTCTTAGCTGATGCAAATATCAATTGCTACAGGGTCACTAAGCCGAAAACAATTACTTGTGGGAACTGGATTTCTAGCTTTTTCTTTTTGGAGTTTTCAATGGTGAGTCTACTTTGCTTACTGACTTAATGTCAATTCGCCTGCATTAAATTTTACTATATTTTACAGAAATGTATCATTTCAATATGGTAAAAATCCAGCTGGGTTGCAGTGGTATGGAAATGCCTGGAGGATCCTTCTAGACTACAAATTTGTTGGACCAAACAAATTTATGTTACTGTTTTGTAGACTATATTTTCATTTGAGGCTTAACAAGGGGACCTTACTTATCGCTTCCTCTCCACTTTTCCGCATATAAAAAGCAATGCTTCCTGCGTGACCATGCAGTCATTTCAGGCTCAGAGATACTGGTTTTGTCATTGTCCTTGGTAGCTGAGTCACATGGTTTGTCTTTCTACTGGATTTCAGACCCATCCGCCCCACCTGCGCCGGCTAACCTGCGGCTTGCAAACTCCACCATAAACAGTGATGAGACTGTGACTGTCACTGTCGTTTGGGATGTCCCCGAGGAGCCCGACATCCCTGTGCATCACTACAAAGTGTTCTGGAGCTGGACGGTCAGCAGTAAGTCTCTCGTTCCGACGAAGAAGAAGCGGAGAAAGACTACAGATGGGGTAGGTGGGAACGGGAAGGAAAGGGTCGCCTCCTCCTGCAGGGGCTGTTTGAACACAAGACGACGGGTCTGGAAAGTGGGCTCTGCTGAGGTGAGAGAAGGAATGGATGCAGGAAAGCTTCCTGTCACGTTCGTTATGACCGAGGAAGTTGAGAGAATGCAGTAGCATGCCAGCTGTTTTGCCTTTTGCATTTGAGGCAAAAATAGTTGAATTTAGTCCATTAACCTACTCTTATCTAAGTGGCAGCCCCAACCCCAGAAATCGAAAGAATGCTTTCAATGATCCCCATCCTACCTGTCTAGCCACAGAAAATGATATATAATGCAGAATGTGCTTTACATTTAGGTCCCCTCCCTTTTTTTTTTTGGCAAGATCCTTGTAAATGGAAGAGCAAGTGTTCATGGTTTTTCTGTTGAAAGGTGTTTCCATCTGTAATCGAATCAGTGCACAGTAAACAACTTAGAAACAGCGTGTTTGACAGTATATTGATTAAAAGAATCTGGAGTGGTTTATTCTTCAGATGGCAAGAAATAAAATCTTCATTGAAACATCTTCCGCAATGAGATTTCTATGATTGCAAATATCTTGCATCATTTGAAATGTTTGGTGCAAAAAAAGTTATTCAGTTTCCTTTTAGTGTACATTCCTTTATTTTATTATTATAAAATTTACTTACACACATTTCTCCTTAATTTAAAAAGTCAAATCTCATGGATAGATAAATGTTTAAAAATGAAAAGATAGCAAAACTATATTTTAGACCTAAGGATTCCAATATCTGTGCCACTCTCTCCATATATATTGTATATAGAGTTATAAAACATCTCCAAAAGTCCGTATCATTGATATGTAGCTGTCATACTATTTTCATTTTATTTTTAAAAATTTTTCGGACAGTTCCATTTTTTGTGCTGAAGGGTTTTGCTACAAGTGATAATGGCAGTGCATGCTTACCCCATGAGCTGAAAGAGCTGAAATTGGGGAATCACAGGAATCCAGGGCAAAAAGTGACCGGATGAAATGCTGACATGTTCCCTTCCCCAGACTCCTGCTCAACACGTGGTGACAGAAAAATCTTGACACATTTTGTCAGGTTGATTTTTCCTATAGCTTTTGGTGGAAATTTGCTCAGAGAAGATTTAGACTAGATGTCAAAGAAATACAATTCATGCTGATTCATAATTTTTCGGTATGTAACAACATCAACCTCTGTTAATTTATTACAAACAGCTCTCTTTTCTCTGCGAGGTGGTATCTCAGCAGAGTGATCAGCACGATTCATTTCCATGCTACCTGAGAGCATCCAAGAATTGGATTGGGAACATTATCTTGAAGATAGATTTGGCCTTTTTATGAAGTTTATTCTGATCCACAGTAGAACTGGATTTTCAGATCCTAAATATGCAGAAAAGTGTCTGAACTTAGAAAATTAAAGACATGCCTAAGCCAGAAGTTGGTATGCTGTATGATGACGTAGAAGATTTTGCAATGACGATGAGAGGCGTGGAAGGTGTGTAATGGAGCTTGGGCATGTTCTCTTAATTTCTAGTTCCAGAATTCTGTGATCCTGGAGAAGCTTCAGCCCGACTGTGACTATGTTGTGGAGCTGCAGGCCATAGCATACTGGGGCCAGACACGCCTCAAGAGTGCGAAGGTGTCCCTTCATTTCACGTCCTCACGTGCAGCCAGCAACAGTAAGTAACAGATGTATCGTGTCTCCCAATCTGATTGTGAGATATCATGTTTCCCAAGCCCCTCAGCACACCAGGGCACTACAGAGGGAGAGTGAGGTTTTGATTCAGAATTATTGTATTGTTTGAACTATGACGTACAAAATAGTTTGACTTTCGAATTCTTTCGTGTGATTTTTATCTATTTTAAGTATAATATTTTGGCAGTGTAATGGAAATTTAACAAGAAAACTTGTATGTCTTTCCAACAGATCTGCCATTTTTATATTTATGTTGTTTGTACATATGCATACTTGTTTTTAAAGATGATACATATAAACTGTTGTTTTCCTTCTAAAAATGTGCACAACCTTTTTTCCTGGTATTCCACAGTGGTCTTAATTACTCCTGGAAAGGCTACCTTATACTCCCTTGACTGAAGTTACTAAATCATTCTTATGTTGGTTTTTCTTGTTTCCATGTTTTCTTACCTGGTGTATTTGCCGTAAACCCAGCAAAGCAAGAGGAGAGTCTTATACGACACTCATATCTGAGTCAGAAAATAAGTTACTTGATGTTTCTGGCTTTGTTGAAAAGGTGGATACCGATTAGAACTGCCATGCAGAGACACCTGGCATGGCTTTGGGGACCTGGGGTCAGTTAAAAGGGAGTAGGAGGGAGAAAGCCAGGCATCTGGGGCTCCAGGAGTGTTGGTTTGTTAGGCCAGCAGGACCCTGTTGTCGTATCTGCCTTCGATCAGGGCAGGAGGCCTCATTTGGAAGGGGCAGAAGAATATGTTAAAGGTTTGTTTGAATTTAGGAAAGGCAGCGTTGGTCAGTGGAGTTAGATGCAGTGATTGCTCCTAACTATCTTCCACCACCTGGAAGAAAAATAGGATCCAAATGAGCAGGTTTGTTTGAAATGATGCTTTCAAAAAAGTTCTAGAAACAGCAATTTCTACCTGTTTGAGAAATAGTCTCTTTGTAGATTAAATGGATTTGAAATGGGCTATTTTTATGGGAGTCTGGGTACAATGTGACTTTTAACTAAAAGTTCTCATGGAAATATTTCTGTGTGTTTAGTAACTTCATTCATTTTTTGATCTAGTCATCCATCTACTTTTCACATTAAAATTGAATGCCTATGAATTATGACACTACTGTGCCTAATGCTGGGAATACTATACTATATAATATTATATAGTATACACTATATATTATAGGTGCCAAATATATAGACTACATATACACTATATATATGCATATGTGGCCCATAATTTTCTATAATATAAATATTTGCACATATGCATATATGTACACCTTATGCATAGATGTACACATGAACACACACATATACATATGTACACACTCATACATACACATAAACACATACTCATACACACATACACACACATATCACACACACACATTATTCCCAGCACTAGGTGTATTTCAATCTCTGCCTTAAAAGTGCCTAATTTTGAATTTGGGAGATAAATATGTAAAATGATTGCACAAAGATCCGTGGGTTGCATGCACAACCACAGGAAACAGCGGAAGCAGAAATAACTAGCATGGACAGGCACGCCATTCCTCAAGAAGTCCTGAGGAGTGAGTGGTCCGTGGGCTCACAGAGCACGGGTATTGTTGCACACATGTGCAGCAGCCCGTACGCGCGCAAAGAGATGAAAGCATGTAGTGTGGGCAGAGAACTTGGCATGGGGGAGGTATGAGGGGGTTGGGACACCTTTCTCTCTCCTGAGCTCTCATTGGGTTGCAGGGATTTAACAACCATCTGCCTGCTAGTGACTGCTACCCTGGCCGCTCCCTGGACTCCAGAGTCCTATATTCAGGTGTTCAGCCTACTCAACACCTCCACGTGGGCGGCGGGCAGGCATTTCAAATGTTACATGTCCAAACAGAGCTCCGGACTTCCCCTCACACCTGTTCCTCTCCCGGGCTCTCCTGTCTCCGTAAATGGCTCCAACATCCACGGGCTTGCTCGAGCCGAAGATCCAGAAGTCATTCTCCATTCTTCTCTCTTTTCTTTCTCTCCAGAAATCCAATTCTTCACAAAGTCTTTCTGTCTCTAATTTTAAATTCTATGTGGGATCTGTCCAACTCTTTCCGTTGTTTGGGCCACTATCATCTCTTTCCAATAAAATTAAAACAGTCTCCTAATTAGCGTTCATGTTTCTGCTCTTTCTTTAATAGCCTTTCTTTGTAGAGCTGGCAAAGTATTCTTTAGAAACTACCCACCTAATTACAGATTTCTCCCTTTTCTGAGTTCCCGTCTCAAGAGAGCCAACAAGTTGTCTTCTCTTTTCACATCTCCCAAAACTTCCTCCTTCACAGCTTTCCTCCGTTTTCCTCCCCAGCTTCCTTCTCAGACCAAAATCCTTTAAACCTCTCTTCATTCAGGACCTGTCTTTTCCTACTGGTGATGGAAATCTCACCCACTGTGTAAAATGAGTATGTCTTTTTAGTCTCCTGGTTCTTCCAATAAACAACATTCTTTCCCCATTAGAAATTGGTGTGGGATTGCAGACTCCCACAATTTACTGTGTGTTTATTCCCAGAACCAAGAGCGAGGAAGGAAAAAACCCAACCTCAACTTGTCCTTGTTGAAGTTTCATTATCTAGAGCCTCATCGTGGTCCAGCCCGCAGATAGAACTTTCGTGGGGCCCTGGGTCTCCCCCGCACATCAAGCTTTCTCAGTCCTCCTGGAGCAGCTCCACACAGCCCTGTTGGCTCAGGGACATCTTTCATTATCCTCTATCAAGGATGATTGTAAACTTTCCTCTCTCCTTTAAGCCACATTGCACAGTCTAGTCTAAATCCCTGACTCTCATAAGCCATGCAATCCCCCGTGAATATAAACGTATCGGTCCCTATGCCCATGCTTCTCTTCTCCTGTCCTCTGTATTGTGAGGTGGAGGCGTCCTTCCCTCTGCATGGGGTGGACCCATCCCTTCCCAGCTCAGATGCTTGCATCCACCAAAGTCAAATCTCTACTGGGTCGGAGACGCGGATTTCTACCTGTGTGCCCACAGCACCTGCTGTAGTCCTGGACACATCATCACGGCACCACAGATATTTATGAAACCAAATTAGCCAGCTATTCTCTCTTTTGCCTATGCCCTCACCCTGGCTAGATCTGCTCAGCTTCCAATTCTAAAACAATTCTTTCCTTGAGTCTGGTTTCCTTCTAGCTACCATCTTATCTTTCTCCTTTCCATGTGTTGCTCAAGCATCTGGAATCTATTTCTCAATCTCACTTTTCCACTGAATCTGCTCCTGCTAATTTCTAAGTCTGATGAACGTTTTCCATTCCCAGCTTTATTGCTCCTTTCTGATGCATTTGTCCTCATTTTAACTACACTTGCCCCCTTGCTACACCTCGACCCTTGTATATTTGACTCCCAAATGTCCTGATTCCTCTCAGACCTCTGCTTAGTTTTACTTGTGGGGTCGCCTTCCTCCTCTGGTCCTCTCTAGAGTTCCATCTTATCCACTGTGACAGCTTTGTGACTACCTACTCTGGGGTCATTCCCGATGACTCAGCTCTAGCCTTGATTTCTCTGCTATTACCAGATTTCTCTAGGTTGTCACTGTCTGTATCCAAATGTCACACAGGCATCTCAAACTCAGTATGCTCCACGTTAGACTCACACCCTCCACTGACAAAGCCTGATGTTCCCATGAATTTATTGTCACCATTGGTGTTACTGCTGACCAGAAACCTGTGAGTCTTCGTTCACTGCTTCCTGTTCCCTTTAGTTCATTTCTAGGTCCTGCAACTTTTATCAAGACCTGTGGCTTCTTGAATCTTCCAAGAACATGGTAGGAATTCAGTAAGTGTTTTAGCTTAGCCAAATACAACCATCTCTCCATTCAACCACCTGTACCCCACACTCTAACACTCCAGCTTTCTGAAGGTTCCAATAGATTAATCTGATATGATCATAAGTACAAAGGGAAGGGACAATGAAGTGACCGTCAGTCTCCAACAACCAAGGTTGTTCATCTCTTATATAGGCTATTTGCATAATTTAACTATATCCTCTGAGAGTTTGTGTTTTCACTTGGTTGACTCTTCCAGAGGAATTCTCTTAACTGGTGGGAGTTTCCAGCCAGGTGGGAAGACACTAGAATCATGGCATTTAAATGAGAGAGGGCCCTAGCTATTGGACTGGTTGAGTCTCAGTACTAAGACCATTTTCTAGTCATCACTTAAAATTAGATAATGTCTTGCCTAACCAATGAAGACATGTGATGGTTAACCTATCAAAGGCCACCTTATTCTTAGGACTGATTCCTCTCACATAGATTCAGAAAAGTAATAAAATAAAAGTAAAAAGAAAAAAAAACAAGTCATAGTACAAAGTATGTTAGTAACACATGTTGTTTGGGACCCAATTATTCTACAGAAGCCACTGGATTTACAACAGATAATGTAAGATACAGCTGAATGTTTGTCAGGATTTTATATCCCAATGTTGATATATAATCTCATAAACACTAGTACATGACTTTTATAAGAACACTATATATTTCATCATGAACCAACTAGAAGTAAAGAATAATTACAACTTTATAGTATAAGCAAGGGAAATTATATTTTATAGGAAGGAGAGTAGTAAATGTCAGTATATAAGTTACGTTTTGAATTATATTTTACCAGGTCTGCAGGCTACTAGGTGTTTTAATGATAAATATTTTTATGCAAGCGAAAGCTGAATGCTCATGCAGTTTTATGAAAGAGTCCCTTGAAGGGAGTAAGATGTAACACTGTCTTTAGTGGAAATGTAGCTTGGTTTTTTTTGGAGGCAGGAGGAATATTTTCGAGGTTGACAGTTTCCAAGTGTTTTATATTTGCCTCATGGAACTGGAATATTATTCTAGCTCTCCAAAATAAGAATGGAGTGGAGATAAAATACTGTAAGTCTCCTGATCTGTAAAATTAATCAAAATTTGGATGTTTGAAAAAACAGTATACATATTTGATTGTCTTAACTTTTATGACTATCAAATAGCATAAATTAGACTTCATACCTTTTCAGAATATGGTAGATATGATTTTATTCCATTTCTATTCACTACCAAAAGTGGAGGAGACTTTCTTATGAAGTCAGGGACATACTCCTAGCACTGAAGTCTGCACCTTCTTTGTCGTTCACCCAAGGCACATATCAGCAATACCACTCGTTGGTGGAATCCTGCTCTTGAATCATTTCAGTAAAGCAATAATGGTTCAATCTCGAGATATATAAAAATACATTCTTATATCTATAATTAAAGATTATAGTTTGCATGGGATATAAAATCAAGTAGGAAGACAAGAGTCACATCAAGTTTAAACATAATATCTAAACTTCTGTGTTGGTTATCCACTGGAGAGTTCTCAATATCACAGATTATTAAAGAAATGGGAAACAAAAATGGGCTTGTGAAAATTTTAGATCCTTAATTAGTTATGTAATAAAGACTTTGGGTGAAATCGGGAGGATTCTTCAACTCCATCATGGTGTCAAGGAGGTGACGGGTTTGGGCCAGGAGCCCTGTGAGTTTTCCATCTGGTTCCTTCCTCCTCCCTTGGAGACTCTGAGTTCCCTGTGCTATTGGTGATGCTGGTTCTCTGCAAGGTTGTGGTGGACCTCAAAAAGCAGTAGCCTAGTAGGAGTTTCTCAGTTATCCAAACATGGATTTGAACTCCTTGAATTAAATATTCTAAAGATGAATCTGACTAATGTAGGCTTCCATTTCCTTTTCATCACATCCACTGGACTGACAAATTCATGGGCGTACGTGTATAAGGAGAAAGTGACAGTCGATCTTTAGTGTGAGCTAATTCCTCTTTCTCAGACGTCTGCAAACTATGGCCCACAGGCCAAATTAAGCCCCCACCTGATTTTGTAATTAAGATTTTGTTGGCTCAGGGCTACATTTATTTACATATCATTTTCCTATCACCTCTGACTGCTTTTAAGCTACAACAGCAATTAAGTAGTTGGGAGAGAGACTGGCCCACAAAACCAAAAACATTTACTATCTGGCCCTTTAGGAAAAGTTTGCTGACTTTCTTTCATAGGATGGCTGTACAAATATAAATTAAATAGTATCAAAGCTCACCAACCAAACAAAAGCCCACCAGAAACACACCTGGAGTCAAAAAGTTAGGGCGTTTTTTGCCCTTCCTACAACACAGGAGATTGTACCACGTTTGGATCCCATGTCAAAGGATTACTGTTATTGACATAAACAAAACAGCCTGCACAACTCCAGATAAATAAACATTTAGTCCATAGAGCCATGAATTCATAGACTTGTTCATTTCACTTCATCCAGTACATATTAAGCAACTACCATGTGCGTGTTTCTGAAGTAGGCAGTCGGGATCCAAGGAAGATTAGGACAAGAGTCTCTTTCTAGAGAGTTCTAATTTGAGTTGGAGAAACAAATTAAAGAAAAGCAATATTGAAAACTGAGAAAATACAGGCTCACTAAACAGCTGTTTGTTTCCATTTACTTTGGGAAATCTTCACCAGGGAGAGCTTATGGGAAGTTTCGAAGGACAAGGAGGGTTGTTCCAGAGAGAAACAAGCAGTGTGGTGCGTGCCGAGCTAAAGCAATCAGAAGTGTAGGTAGGGAGGAGCCCACCAGATTTCGGGAATTAGGAATGGCGCGGGAGGGAAAGATACAGCTAAATTAAAACAGAAAAACAAACAGCAAACTAAAACTAGAGCCAGATCGTGACCCTAAACAGCAGCACAATAAGAAGTGACCTAGCCTAAGAATAAACGTTTGAAAATTGCCTGATTCAAAAAATATCTCTTGCTGTTTTGTTTTATAGCAGCTTATCTCTGTCTTGCATTGGATATGGTATATTGGGGTTTGGGGTCCTTCTTATTCACTTTTATACTGTCCTAGCTTTGCAGTGAGTGTGTTTTGAATACATTTTTTAAATGGACAATAGGAAAAAAAAGCTCATGCTAAAAAAAACCAATAATGAACATGTGAACATTTTCTCATCTCCTTCTTCCTGAAGTGTTCTGGTTTATTCATAAAATACCATCTCACATTGCAACAACTGTGCTTCTATGACTTGTTTTTGGCCACTTTTTCAAAGAACAAACACTGACTTGTCAGACTTACGCACTTCCGCCGGGCAGGTGCCTTCAGCGCAGCCCTCTCCCTGTGCGCTGTGATCGTGGCGGTGATGCCTTCTGCTGTTTCAGGAGCCCCTCACATACAGAACCGTTACATCCACGGCGTCTAGCTTCAGTTCCTGGCTCCTGGGCAGTGTTCGTAAATGTTCACAGAAAGAACTAATGCGTGAACGCGCCTTACGTTCCATTGCGCAATCCAACGTGCTGTTGCCGTTGCATTTCCTTTCCTTTCCTGGGTATTTTAATACTTCGCTCTAGTATCTGTCAGAGTCTGAATGTCTGTCACTAATCCGAACTGCACCCAGATGGGCTGTTGAGCGCTGAGTCTGAAATTGGCATTGTCAACTGAGTCAGTGCAATTTGTGCTCTGAACTACTAATGTGACAAAGTTGAACAGTATTTCTGTTTAGGGCCTTGTAGCAAATGTTGATGTGTAATGCCCATACTTCTGCAAAAAGCTAGCTTTTGTTTTCATGAAATGGTATTTTAATATTATTTTGTTTCCCTCATAATTGTAAAAAACTCCTTCTATAATGAGATACTATTTATACTTACTACTATGTTGGAACATCTTAAGTAGTAAGTATACTTATTCAAGTATACTTTCAAGCCTGGTGAATATATATTGATTACCAATTTAAATTCTAGGTATTACATGTAATATTAGTATTACATGTAATTAGGATTAGGATTACATTAGGATTACATGTAATATTAGTATTCCAACAAGTTTTGAAACGGGGCATCATTAACTTGAGCATGAAAGAATATGCAGTTGCATCACCTTTTAAAAAACAGGCACTGATATGAATAAAAAACAGGATGAAATTAAGTACACTGGGATTAATGTCATGTTATCCAATTATGTTTAACAAGTACACTAGAATGTTGTACTTTGTTGCAGAAGAACAGCTTGGGAAAACCAGAAAAGGTGCGATTCAAATGCAGCCCCCTTTCCAAAGAAGACGGCCGACGCGCCCTCTGGAAGTTGGCACTCCATTCTTTCAAGACAACCAACTGCAGGTCAAGATCTACTGGAAGAAGATGGAAGGTACACAAGCATTTGCTGCTTATTTGGTATTTGCTTTAAGTAGCACAATGATATAAAGATACTTTTGAAAAAGTAAATGTTAAGCCACAGTGTTGAATTCAGGCAAATAGTCGATGAACAAAACACTTAAATGCCTTTTTTAAAAAATGCCTCGCTGTATTAAAATCCAAATGGGTTGACGTTGGTTCCCACAGTTTTGAAATCGGCAACAGTCAATTGCTTAAATGTTTTAATTTCAGGGTATTGGCCTATCTTCATTTCTTTCCCAGAAGGCTGATCTTGTGTCCAAAACACTCAAATCATTCATTATTGTAAACTGTAATTTTTATTCTAAATTATTTTTATTAAAAAAAAGACCTATAATACAAATAATTTGGAAAATAGAAAGTCACCTATCATCTCAATATCATATCCTGGAAACAGCATTTTGGTGGATTTCCTTTCAGAAGTTGTGTGTGTGTGTGTATGTGTGTGTGTGTATAAAACACACACACATATTTCTGTATAATATTATAAGAGCTGCTGTATTGTCATGCATTTTTCATAACATTTTTTCATTGCTGCTTTGCATGGGTATATACTAATGTCATAGGACATGTCATTATTCCAGTTCAATGAAACGTTTAGGTGACTTTAAAATTTCCATTTCTAATTAAGGCTGCCATGAACATTTATCCTTAGGATATACTCTTTTTGTTTGTTTGAACACTTATCTTTAAGATAATTTTTTGTTTATTTTCTTTACTCTTAGAATATTTTTTCACTATTGAAATAGTACTTTTAGAATTTATTTAACATATATTTTATCATTATCACTCATATATTTTAAAAACATAAGCAAAATAGATTGTTTCAAGAGTTCAGTTTTAAAAATTCTCCTCATTCTTCTGAAGTTCTATTTCATTCAGGGTATTCATGACCCCTGTGTCATAAAGAATATTGGTATTGGAGCAGTTCTTCTTCCAGAATTTTCTTTCAAGCTGCTAAAATTCATTCTGCAACTAAAATAGCATTGCCATTAATATTACAGGAATATATTTCATTCTTGTAATATGTTAATTAAAGTTCCTTCATTCAATATTTATTAAATTAAGCTTATATTAATATTATATGTCCATATTAAAATTAATAATTCCATAATAAATATTAAATGATAAAATGATTTGATCAATTGTATTTACCAATTTAAAATTATCAATAAATTAACAAAGCATAGCATTTTATTAATAACATTAAAAATTTAAACATTTAATGTAATGAAATGAAAATGTAAACATCTAGTTTCAAAAATGTAAACATCTCAAGCATACAAGAGTAACCACCACCATCCTGACTTCTAAAACTCAAGATTTGTTTTGGCTGTATTTGATAGTTGTCAAAATGGAATCATCTGGTTTGCAATGTATTTGGCTTCTTGCACTGAGCATTTTATGTGACAAACTAATCTATCCTGTTGCATGAAACAATAATTCACTCATTGCTGCCCAGCAGTCCCTGATACACCTCAGTGTATCTATTCCAGCTGTTGACAGAGATTTACTTTGCTCAATGTTGGGCTATTACAAATAGTGCTGCTATGAATACCCTGTGAGCACATGTGTTTTGTTGCACAGGTATATACATACTGTCCCCATAGAGGTGAGATTCTTAGGTCACAGAGTCTGTTGAGCTTTAGACTACATTAATAGTTTTCTACAGTGGTCATACCAATTTACAGTCTCCCCAGCAGGCTATGATATTTCCAGGTGCCCCATGTTTTCTCTGCCATGTGGTATTTTCCATCTTTTTAGGTTTAGCCATTCTGGTATGTGAGGATTCCTGCTGCACTGCTGTAGGCAGCGCCGTAGAGAGAGAGTGGCTGGCATGCAGAGAGAGGGCAGGACGTCCCCGCAGAGGTAAAGAGCCACTAGCCTAGCTTCATAAGGCTTCCTGTTGCTTTAGGACTGACTCCCAATGTTTTCTCCTTTGCAGACAGCAAAGAACAGTGCTTTAAAAATGATTTCTTTGTCCGATTTATAATACAAATGCTATAAAAGTTAAGTATCTTGTTAAATTTGACAGAAGAAAAAGGATTAACCTTCACTACACTGTATCAGCAAGCAGTAATGTGATCAATATTCTCAGACGATAGTGATTTGAGTGCATGATAAATAAAGAATTATGTTTGCCTGTATGCACTCGAATCATTGTTGAATGGGAATATTGATCATATCACCAGTCATTGACATAGATACACACAGTCACATATACGCACACATGCACACATATTATTATAAATAATCCAAAATTGGAAATAAATGTGAAGGATATCAGTTGTTTTCTGATATAGAAATCTTTAAAGAGACTATAGGCAGAGATTTGTGTGCATATTTATTAGTCAATTTAAGGATACGTAGTGTGATCCAATTTACTTGACAATGTGTGAAATTATGGACCTGACAATAAAGAGACGAGATCCAAAGGCAAAGGAATGGCCTCGATTTGGGCTCTGAAATTGATGCTGACTTGATTCCTGTTTAGTGACTCGGACCCTAGGCCACCAAGCAGTATCTGGGAGTGAAGAGCTAATGCAGTGGAGGCCAGCTAGCATCTGTTCGTCAGGAATGGCGTGTCTTGTTAACTTAAATGCCACGCAGTCGGTTAGTGGCCAAATGGCTTTAGTCAGTCCCATTTCCAATCTCTGAGCTCTGTTAGCCTCCAGGGACGTTCCTAACATAGACCAACATTAGACCATTGTCTAATCAGTATGCACCTGTGCTGGCCTGAGAACATTCTCTGGGGTTGGCCAAACTCTGATTCCAAAGATATAATTGATGTGAAATATATTTGTACAAGAGAATATTCTGTGCAAAAGTAGTCAACAGCTGAGCACCGCAGCTTCTATTGAAAACCGTTGTGATGCTAGTGCTGCTGCTTCCTCACGAGGCGGGGGTTCATTCTGCATCTTTACTGATACGTCGAGGTCTGTCTTTGCAGATGTTTTGTAGGACATGAGTCAGCTCCTTACCATTTCAGCTTGTGTCCTCTCTAAATATTCGTGTCAGATGTTTCTTTGAAGTGACAGGAAGCACTTGAAACACTCTGTATGGATTCTCTTCAAAATGATGGCAAAAGTATGGAATCTGGCATTTTGCTTTTACTTTCTTTAGGGAGATCCTCCCAAAGAGTTTGGAATGTAAAAGGATCATTGTGTAAAAATACCTAGACGGAATACTCATGACTCTACAGAGCACTCCAAGCCCTTTACCAAAATGATAGAGTACAAAAACAAATAGAGTTGAATTTCCCTACACAAATCTTGCCTCTGAAAGCTGGTGGCTTTTGATTTTGATTAAGGTGATGAAAGAAATATAGAAAAAAAGAAAAGAAAGGTCTATTTTCCTTTTAAATTAATCCTTTAAATAAGTAATGGGCCTTACAAACATTAAAAGCATCTTTAGAAGAGTAGTTTAGTCATTTAGTTATTTAGAAAATAATATGTTCAACTTTCACTTGGAAGTGGAAGGTTTTAAAAATCAGAATTAACTTAGGTGTCAGTGAATGCGTTTTCATTTCATTGTTGGCTTATCTTGCAAATGTGCGTGCATCGCCTACTTTACAGCAGACCCTGTGCCAAATCATGGGATTGTAGCAATAGGTAAACTTTCTACCTTGAAGGCACCTGATGTTCTGAGGCTTACACACATAGGCAGTGGCCACATAATAAGAGATATTCTTCATAAAGGCGTGGATACAGAGCACTTGCCAGGGGAGAGCCTTTGATTTGTGTGCAGAGATATTTTCACAGAGGAGGTAAAGTTTAAGGTGAATTTTAAAGGCTAGATTACTTTTTTTTGACCAGGGAAGATGAGCGTTTCTGGCCCAGGAAATGAGCAGCGGTGCAGATGAAAGATCAGAAATGTCAAGTGTTGGTGACATGGTGAGGCTGGGGAGATCGAATGATGGAGACTGTTTTGTGCTACGTACACCAGAGAGCGTGAATTTTGTTCTCTGCGTAGGAGAGGGAAGTGAAGTAGAGGGGAAGCTCTGGGTAGCAGCTGGAGATGTTAGCCAAAGCAGGTGTGCGAGGAGAATGGGTGGGGACTGCTCAGAGAGAGCATGGCGTAGGCTTTCGCTAGGTAGTTACTTTCAGTAGCCCAAACGGGAAGCGATCAGAGCGTGAAATAAAGGCAGTAGTGGTGGGAGCGAGGTGGGGGAGGATTGTAAGAGTGGCCACGTAATTATTGTCTGAACTGGGATTCACTGAGCGTGAAAGGAGGAGTTCTTCAAGGTTATTCCTCGCCAGCAGACACAGACTGCAACTCTCCCAGGGAAACCAGGACACACAGTCACCTGGGTATTAAGACCTGGCTGAAGGGAAGAGAGATGAATCTCAGTGGAGCCTCTACCTTCTAGCTTGCGTGACTACTTAACAGTACTTTGATGAACAAAGACTGTGAACGATAAAATTGCAATGTGTTTCCTGGGGAGGATGGAAATTTGGGTTTGGTGTGTTGAATTTGAGATAACGGCGTGATATCCAGAAAAGCTCTGGTAGGTGGTCAGAAATACATGCTTACAGCTCAGGAGACAGCTGTGCAGGAGAAGTACGGATTGGGCTGGAGCTATGGTGCGGTCACCGACTGCTGTCAGAGGGCCTGCAAACGTTAGGTGATGCCACTGGATCACATAGTTACTTATTAGGAACTGAGAACAAGGCACGCTCTAAATAGTTTCATAATTTTCCAAAAAATCCCTTTTTCTTAAATTGTATCCATCCCCATTTCCGTTTTTATTTTAAATATGAAAGCCAAATTGCCATATAAATTGTAGCAGAGCTCATTCCGTTAAAGTGCATGTTGGAAGGGGGCTGTTGAAAGCTTTGGGAAGTCCAAAGTAAAACGAAGTGGAGAGTATGTATTCCAAACTTATTCCACGTTTTTACCCCTTCCAGAAACCTTTTATGCATTCGCCATATGACCTGCAGAATCCCAACCAGAGTTTCCCCAGATATTTATAAAACATGTTCATATTCATAATTATCACACATGTAGGAAAGGAGACCGTTTAAATCAACTCGCAGTCCTGCTAGTGTATAAGTGCTGTATAGAATGTGAATGAGTTCAGTTTCCGTCATGGGAAAGGATGCTTTGGCTAGATTTTCTGGATTTTTGGACTTTTTAATATGAGAAATTGTCTGCTCTGTATGCAACTCAATAGATTCCTCTCAAATGGATTTAAACTTCTTGACATAAATATTTGAATATTCTTGAATTATAATCTATTTTCTACAGTAGAAAAATTGAACTGAAAACCTAAAAGAACTGAATGCTTGTGACAACTAAGGGAAGAACACAATCTTTTTCATTAATCAAAACAAAATTATATACAGACATTGGTTCTTATGTCACAATTCCTAAAAGTGATGGTGAGTAAAATGTTGGTGTTGGACTTGGAGTTAAGAATCTAAAAACATAAATCTATTCATTTCCCTTAAAATTTCCCACAGAGAGAGTTTCAATTATTAGGATGTAGCATATAATCATGTAGGGAAATGAATTAAGCATCAAATATCAGCCTTCTCGATGCATATGGTAGTTGGGTTATAATAGTGAATGCTCTGAAAGAAAACAAATATTTTCAACAGTGAATTTATAGAAAAAAATTATTTTAAAAGAAATATTCCACTTAGCTTATTTTTAAAATAACCATATTATTCTACTGGCATTAGTTCATTTTTCCTGTGTGATAATAGAATACACAATTGATTGTTTTTAGGTTTTCTGGCTTTAGACTTTGTGTTTATACAACACAATTGTAAAAAACTGGCTGGGAAAGAAAACATTTATGCTTCTACTTTAAGTACAAGTGCCTATGAGGTGTTCAAAAGTTCTCGTTTTAGTTGCACACAGTCAGAAAGTTCTGTTTCATCAAATCGTTTTTACAAATATGAGGAGAATGAGGCATTGCTCAATGAGAGGATGTCATTCACCCCACATTCTTTGAGCACCTGCCCCACACTGGCCACCATCTCTGGCGCTAGTGACACAGTGAAGAAGCAGGCAGAATCCCCGCCCTGACGGAAGTGGCATTCTGTGATGCCTTCCCAAATGAATGTCCCCTCTCCCTCGTGTTGTGATTTTCAGTTATTTGTTATGGCGAATGTTGTTCTGGGGTAACCCAAGATTGCCTCTGTGTCTCAGAGCGCTAATGTCAACAAGCCCCATCATTCTGATTATTAGACTTTTGCAAATTTAGAAATTCACATTTAATTAAAAATTTTAGAGCCTTTCATTTATTCCAGACACTGTGAGTTTGATATATTTGAAAAGATAATTAGATGCGTTTAATTTTTGAAGCATAGTTGAAGCATAGCACAAGTAAATTCCAACATTTAAAAATACTTTTCAGGTGCTTTCTGTATAGCGTCATTTATTTGTGGAAGGAAGAAATTAAGTTCAAGAACCAGGTCTATTAGACATTTAGCATAGAATTTTCACGTGAAACCCTTTAGGAAGTGTTTGATTGAACAATATTATTTTTAATATTGTAGTTGTAGATCGAGTCCTACAGTCATAGCTTAAAACACAAGCTCTTAGGATTTTAATACTTGGCAAGATGAAGCTAAAGACAAGATGTTTGTACAAATGACTTCCATGGAAGCAAATATCTATGAATTGATTTTTTAAATTGAACTCAACTAACATAAACAAGTATGCGCATATTTTTGTTTGCTTTTTAAAAATAAATGTCCCCAAACTGGCCTTTGGGGATGCCATTTGCAATGCTTTGAGGACATTTTATTTTATTTGCAAATGAGAAAATAAATGTTATATTTTCAAAAATATTAAATCTAAGTTTGATACTATTTTCCAGAAACAATATAGAAATATTCCAACTTCTGTTTAAATATCTTTGTTTTTGTTTTGTTTTGTTTTTTCCATTTATTTTTATTTATTTCAAGATATTATGGGGGTACAAACATTTTGGTTACATGTTATGACTTTGCCACACCCAAACCATGATTTGAGGCATGCCTTTAAATCTAAGTTTATTTAATATTTTTTACTTTCTCACATTTCTTTTAATGCTCTTGTATAATACTTTATCTTCTTTTCACACTTTATTTTTCTTTCATATTTTAGATCATAAGGAATTCCATTTCACTATACCCTGCACAATTAGTGAAATAAAAGTGAATTTGAATGTGCATACACTCACTCATTCATTAAATGTTTATGACACGGTGCAGGGCACCATGCTCACCTTTGTTTACACAACAGTGACACCAAATAGACATCATTTGTGTTCACGGAGCTCTCACCAAACGGGGTGGACAGAGTTTAATCAAATGACGACAGGAACAAACAAGCATTGAGAACACAGGTAGATTCTGCAAGAGGTGAGCGCGCACAGGCAGCTGAGGGCCGTCACCACGTGAGACCCTGAAGGCCACATAAAGGAGCATGATCTGTAATTCTGAGGCAAAGAAAAGCAGATCAATGATTCAAAGCCAACCTTGAGAAGTGGAGATTATCCTTCGTGATCTGGGTGGGAACCAAGACAATCACAAAAGTCCTTCAAAGTAGAAGAGGGCAGCAGAGCTAAAGAACCAGAGAGAAGGCATTGCGAGAAGGACTCGACCCATCGGACTCTGAAGGTGGTGGAACGGCGCCTCCAGCCAAGGAATGCAGAGGCCCCTAGCCTCTAGAACAGGCAAGAAAACAAATTCTCCCCCAGACTCTTCAGAAAGGAACGCAGCTCTGCCAGTACCTTGATTTTAGCACAGTGAGACTCATTTCGGACTTTCAGAAGAGAATAACTTCGTGTTGCTTTAAGCAAGTACATTCGTAATGATTTGTCCCAGCCTCCACAGAAAACTCGTGCACCACCTGCTTTAAGACTCACTGCAAACCCATTGCACTGGCCGTGTCAGTACCCTTATTTTCAGATGAAGGAATAGGCTCAGTGAGCTTCCAGGACTTCCTTGCTGAAGCCCACCTTCCTCAAAGACTGTGCACGAGGGCCAAAATTCTGCCTTCTGCACCCAGAGTGAAGAACTTGCATGCAAGGGGGCAATTTAGGGACAGAAATCCAGAGTGTAGCTTTAGGAATGTTAAGTTTGGAAAGCCTCCACGTGGTATAGGAAGTAGGGAGCACCGCTCTTCAAGGAAGTAACTCACGGGAAAGTAGAAGTTTGGGATCTGTCCGCAGGAAAATGATTTTCCAAGGCATGGGAATGAATGAAATTGTTCATGGAGATGACACATAGCGAGAAGCCAAGTGGGGGTGGACTCGGACATGGCAGTGTTTAGGGCTGACGGGAGGGAAGGAGTATCTGTGTGTCATTCTTGATGCCTCTTTTTATGAAAATACAATTGCATCGTAAAATACATAAAGGATCTTCAGTTTACGTAGGACCCTCTGCGGTAGCCAAGCCAAGCCTGGACCTCCCTAAGGTCCTACTCAGACATGAGCTTCTGGCCACCTTATTTAAAATTGTTTGTCCACATGAAAAGTTATAATTTTAAGTTGTAACTGTCTTAGCTTTTATATTTATCTGTAGACTTGCTACCTTCAACCTAGTATAGATCTTATTTATGCATTTTGCATATTATCTGCATAGCCCCATTAATATGTCCACTTCAGGAGGGCAGCACTTGTGAGATTATTCCACTGCTGCTGAATGAAAGAATATGGAATCACTCACCAACTGACTTCATCCTTATGTATAACGTATCATTCTTTAAAAAAAAAGAAAAGAAAATCAAACCCTTGATGTCTGCTGTGCAAAAATTAAAACCTCTAGCACGTGATTTCCCTTTAAACTAAACGCCCCGGGTGCCCACTTTATATCTGTTTCCTTTCTCTGATTAAAAGTTCTTCTTTTCTGGTTCCAAAGTGCTCAGAGCAAGTTCCCACTAGATCAACCCAATTTCATCAAAGAGTTTTCCCCTCTGAAAACCCCCATCAAACGCTTGGCGTGAGCGTTCGGGACAAGATGTTAATCGCCAGCAAAGCAGCGCTGTTTCACACCCCTTGGACTCACTGGGGTGATTAATAAACCTGACACTGTCGAGAGCTGCTTTCCCACACTCAATGAGTCGCCTTCCCCAGTTTGTCTCCCCCGACCCCACATTGTCCAAAGTAAAGTAATGCACAGAAAATGCGCTGCTCCACCTGGGAATGAAAATGTTTGAAAGGCCAGTGCTCCTGCCTGTCTTTGAGGCCAGCAAGTCACATTTCAGTAGGATCAGACGTACAGAAAGGGAAGGGGAGGAGGATGCTCAACACCCTGATCCTTCTCACAAGGGAACTGCCTTGTGGCAACACTTTAGGAAATAAATAGCAATAGCCAATTCTTCACGTTTGCTTTTGTTTTTTGTGGGTTCAATAGCTTCTCATCTTTATCCAAAAAATATAGGATTGAGAGACTTCTAATGATTCTCTCCTACAGCAGGAGCGAAGAGAGCTACACTGAGTGTTACCTTTTCCTGCAGGGCTTTGCTTACCCTAAAAACATGGATAGGTTATTCTCAAGGCACCTTTAGAATCATTTTGCTATTACTTTGCTAATTGTTTTTTTTTTTTTTTTCCTACTTAGTACTTGCATTTCAACACAGGTTTTCCTTTGGCAGTGTATTAGTTTTTCTACTTACTTTACTCCTAACCACTAAATAATCAGAATTATACCAGACCTGCATGCCTCCTTGGGCTCACCTATGCATTTTTTGGTCACCTGTAGAATTTCATTTTCTCTTCCTATTCTCTCAAGTTCAAGAACAGTGGACTACATGGAATGTAACTTCCAGGCTGTTATTTTCATTTGCGTGTTTTGATGTTGTAGATCCCAGCGTCAACCGGTATCACGTGCATTGGTTTCCAGAAGTGTGTGCCCACAACAAAACAGCCGGATGGGAGACATCCTCCAGCATGACCCACGTAAGAAGATGCTTTCTAGACTGACCTGACCTGTGTATGTAATTGGACAGGACGATGTACAAACCAGATATGTCAAATGGTTAACTCACTCTCACAAACGAGCTATTGAACAATGACCCAGTGAAAACTGAAAACCTAACAGTCGTTACAGCGACCCAGTCTTTTATCCATGCGCGCCATTCCATGGAGAACTTATTCCACTGGCGACACGGGGCAAGCCCTAAAATGCCGTGAATTTCCATGTGACTCTCTCACTCGGCACCTCTCTTTGCCACATCCTTAAGTGCCACCAATTCCTCCAGTTAACGGGACATGCTACCTGTCCTGTACACCAAGTGCCTATATCTTGGGGGATGGCAACTCAATACTACTCAAAATATCATTCCAAATATTTTGGGGTTAATGTATGAGTTATGGATTAGAATCAGCAAACCAACACAACATGTTTAAGAGGGAGTTGTGTTATACAAGGTGTTGATGGCAGCAATGCACATGTCATAAATCAGGGAAGTTTAAAAAATTCAAAAACATGCCCCCAAATGTACAGTATGACGGCTTGGGATATGTAAGTGGAATCTTTTCCTTTTGAACGTTTTCTAAAGCAACAGGGGCACTATTTGTAGGATCGTATCTGATCACGTAACTTTAAGACAGTGAGAGAAAACGAGTCACTGGATTTGCAGAAACACACAGCTATTTTTTTCTGTTTCTTTTTCTTTTTTACTGGATTTGACTTGTCTCAACCGGTTTACCAAAGTTACTCCTTTTATTTATCCTTAAATTAGTCCCAAAGTTTGTGACCTTCATTAAGAAATTAAAGACATTTTAAATAAGGAATTCTGTTTGAAAAGTAGAAAAAGAATTTAACGGAAGCAGGATTTATCAGAAATTTTTGTGGGCAGGGGCGAGGCTCCCCCTTGCTTAGTGGCACGTGCCTGGGAACCCTACGGACCCTGGCTTGAGTCCACGTGGCCGTCCAGTCCTAGGCTTGGCATCTTCACTAACTCTGAAAGTGAGAATAGCTATTCACTGAGCATATATAATGTATCTGGTAGAAATAAGAATCAAAATCTCAAAAAAGCATACTGTTAAAGGCTTAGAACTTGTCTGTTTTCATTTTTAATCGACCTTTGGGCCCAATTACTTTGCTTTCATGGTAGGATGAAGCAGCAGCTAATTTGCTTACTGCTGCAGACGTCTGCCTTCCCCGCCACATGAAAGCATTCTTGGAATACCTGTGAAGCAGAGTCCTTGATGGCCAGCCCTGGATTCCAGTATCCTGCCACAGAAAGTGCACGTTCATTCCTAAAGAAAAGCAACGCAGACTCCCAAAGAGACACAGCAGGCTGGGGTGTCTGGACTGAGCTGATTCCCGTGCACCGTTTGGTGCTCACTGTGTGCAGCTGGGTCCACCCTGTCTCCTGTCCCCTTCTAGATCAAGGCCAGCAGCCCTGGCATTGTCCCTGCATCTCC